TTGGCTCCAGTTCACCTTTTCAACTCAGCTCAGCTTGAGTTTCCTCCAGCTCAACTCAACTTGAATCTTACCTCCTCCAGCTCAAGTTATCAGCCTCCTCATCCCTCCTCCCATGCACAAACATGTATCTATACTAACAAGTTTATTATTCTAGAGTGAAGTTAAAAGAAAAAAAAAACAGAAAAAAAGACTGGAGGCATGTTTCATGTAGTAGAGTACCTGCCTAGCAAGCAGAAGGCATAAGAATTCAAATCCTAGTACCACCAATAAACAAATAAAAAGAATTTGAAGGCTGGGAATGTGGCTGAGTGGCAGAGTACTTGCCTAGCATGCATGAAACCCTGGGTTCGATTCCTCAGTACTACATAAACAGAAAAAGCCAGAAGTGGTGCTGTGGCTCAAGTGGTAGAATGCTAGCCTTGAGGAAAAGAAGTTCAGGGACAGTGCTCAGGCCCTGAGTTCAAGTCCTAGGACTGCCAAAAAAAAAAAGAATTTGAAAAAAGATCAGAATGAGAGAAACTTATACTTTTCAGGAAAAAGAATTCAATTTTCAGAAATGGAAGCTCCCTGGATTATAAAGTGGCTTTTAAGCCTCATCAAGAATTCATGACTTCATTTTATTTTTTATTTATTTATTTTTTGCCATTCCTGGGCTTGAACTCAAGGGCTGGGTACTGTCCCTGAGCTTCTTTTGCTCAAGGCTAGCACTTTACTACTAGAGTCACAGCACCCCTTCCAGCCTTTTCTGTGTATGTGGTACTAAGGAATTAAGCATTCTACCACTAAGCCACATTCCCAGCCCCCTGTGACTTCATTTTAAAAGCAGTAAGAATGGCAGGGCTCATGTCTGTAATCCTAGTATCAGGAGGCTGACATCTGAGGATTTCCGTTCAAAGCCAGCCCAGGAAGTAAAGTCTGTGGACTCTTATTGACAATTAACCACCAAAAAAGCTACAGAAGGAGCTGTGACACAAATGATAGACTGTTAGCCTTGAGCAAAAGAGCTCAAGGACCCAGGCCCTGACGTCAAGCCCCAGGACTGGCACAAAAAATTAGCAGTAAGAAGCCAATGACAAATGTTTACTAATGGAGAAATACAATTAAATGTATAATTTAGAAAAAATTGGGAGATGGGAGAAACCAAGGAGGGTGGGAATGGATGCAAGCAGCATTACTTGGGAAGATGACTTGCAACAATAATCTGGTGAGAGATGATAGCAGCATACAGAGATGTCAATTTGGTGATAAACTGGATGGGGCAACAGCGCAAGACCACTCAGATTCTGCCTCAGTTGACTGCATAGACTGCTATATTCATTCAGACTGAGAATAGAGGAAGAACAGAACAGGGAAAGATACTACATTCAGTATTAGATAAAGTGCTTAGAGCATCTAGAACAGGGCTGAGAACGTGTTTTCTGCCAAAGGCCATTTGGATCCTTATACCATCATTCAAAGGTCATAGAGAACTACCAATACTTGGAAATGAGGAGAAGCAGATGAAAGATATATATCTGTCCTGTCATGTACCAAGTGATTTTGAGGGCCTTACATAGTCCTTGGGCTGGATATTCCCCACCCTTGATTTAGAAGAAATCTAGATGGCATATACCCTGAAGGCAGCTGGACACAGAAATGATAAAGTACTCTCTGGTTTTCAATTTAGGTAACTGATAAACGGTTTTTGCCATCTACTGATGGCAAAACTGTCTGTGCCCCAGTGCTGCTGCTCACCTTTCTTTGGCCATTGCTTACCCTGGAGTCTATGGAAGTAACAGAAGGCCCCTTCAGCTTGGCTCATCAACAGAGCAATGAGCAGACTATTTATTAGATTCAGGGAAATACAAAGAGGCTGTTTTTTCTTTTTTATTGTTATTGTAAAGGTTATATATACACGGGATGCACTTATATAAGTCAGGTAATGAGTACATTTCTTTTTGAACAGTGAAACCTCTTGGCTTTTTTGTCACAAAAAAGTTCACAGAATATCTTAGTGAGGCCACGAAGCTGACCCAGTCTTACCAGTGGAATTGCAAAGGAATAGCCATGTGAAACAGCTCTTCCTTATCCAAGAAATGTGGAAAAGGGCAAAGCAATAGGAATGAATGAAAGCTCAGAACACAAAGACATAACTACTCATCTTTAAACACCTTACAAACACTCTTACAAGGATATGGAAGGCTAGAGCCCCCTTCTTTCTGACAAGTACTACCTTCTTAGGAGAAACATCTCTCTGAAATTCATGGGATCTTTGACAGGATCTAGACACACTAATTTTGCTTCACCAAAATAGTGAACCAACATAGCCGTGTACTTGAAGCAAAGCCCCAAAACACGACAAACCAATTACAGAGGAGCAGGCAACCACAACTACACATCTGAAGAGGCATGTGGAGTTCCTTGTGGCTAATAATGAAAGATTAAGGGAAGAAGATAAACAACTAAAAGCTGAAAAGTCCAGAATTCTAAAAGGTCCAATAGAACAAGAGCTGGATGTAGATGCTGACTTTGTAGAAAAGTCAGTTATGGAGCTTGCTACCACAGGCAGAGACAGTCACAGCCTGGCAGAAGTTGGTAGCAAATACTGGAAAAGCCAAGAACATTCCAATACCTATTCTTCCTCCCTTGGATTTTCCGTCTCCAGAACTTCCACTAATGGAACTCTCTAAAGATATTCTGAAAGGACTTATGAATAATTAAAATGAAAACCACTGGAGAGGTCAGAAGAGGAGTAACACAGTGACTCCAGAAATAAATAAATAAATAAATAAATAAACAAATAAATACCACATCTAAGGGTAATCCTGGAAATGCATCATCATCTGGCACAATGTGGGAGAAGAAGCTTGCCAGGACTTGGAAACAGTCACTGTGAAATGTGCTGCATACCTGATTCACTGACTTGAGCTAATGATTCCTTCCACTGGGCAAACACTAAACTTTTGGAGGTTTTCTCCTTATACAAACCAAAAGGCTATCTGGAATAATTTTTTTCAAGAATTATTTTTCTTATCTTCAGGGTCAAATGTATAAAAATATGCCATACTTAATCTATAAGGCCATAAATGATCATGCAAACCCTAAATAATATGATAGCCTGAAGGTTGCTTTGTATTTGAAACATGATTTCTATCATGCAGTGATTGTATGCATTCTGTTATGTGCATTTTGTTTGTTTAAACTATACATGCCAGGCTGGGAAGGTGGCTCAGTGGTAGAGTGCTTGCCTCACATTCATGAGGCCCTGGGTTTGATTCCTCAGCACCACATAAACAGTAAAAAAAAAGCCAGAAGTGCCACTGTGGCTCAAGTGGGAGAGTGCTAGCCTTGAGCTGAAAAGCTCAGGGATAGCACCCAGGCCCAGAGTTCAAGCCCCCAACCGACAAAAAAAAAAAAAACTATACATGCTACAGTTTGCTCTACTCATTACATGATGATAACCTCAAGACTATCAGGAGAAATATTTAAATTTCCAGTTTATGAAGAAAGGAATCAAATTTTAATTATGGTTTTTAAAGGAAACTACCAGTTTGCATAATTAATCGGGTGCATTTTAAGTTCTAAGTATGTTATGTATCATTTGAAAATACCAGGGAGATATCCTTTGTGTTTAATGATGCATGAATGAAGTAATGCTAGCTAGCCGTATTTGTAAGAAAACAAAGTAATCGTGAGTTGCTGCTACTTTTATTCATGGCTTTTCTTTCACTTCCAGAGAAACTTTCCCTTATTTGAAAAAAGAGGAAAATTTGCTCTATATAATAGTTGCTTTCTAAAATTTTTTAAGTTATAAACTATTAAAGTATCTAAGCCAGACATGATTGCACATCTGCAATCCAGCACTCAGGAAACTGAAACAGGAGCTTTGAGAGTTGCAGGCCAGCATGGGCTATACAGCAAGACCCTGCCTCAAGAAAAACAAAAATTTAAATTAAAAAAAAATATATATATATCCCCTTGGAAAGAGGCATGATTCAAATGTAGAGTGACAGCTATGAGGAGAGAAAGCTGAGCAAGCACATTAGCCCTGAATTAAAACCCCAATACCAGCACAAATTATTTATTTACTTACTTTTTTTTTGGAGGGGGGGTCCGGTTGTGGGGCCTGAACTCTGGGCCTGGGCACTGTCCCTCAGCTCTTCAGCTCAAGGCTAGTGCTCTACAACTTGAGCCATAGCACCACTTCTGGCTTTTTTGTTTTTGTTTATGTGGTGCTGAGGAATCGAACCCAGGGCCTCAGGCATGCAAGGCAAGTGCTCTACCACTGAGCCACCTTCCCAGCCCTACTTACTTACTTATTATAATCCCATTACCTAGAATTAAAACATAAGGAACTGGGGGGAAGCTTGGCTGACTACCGTAACTAACATTTTTATCATTATAGATTATTTCTAACTTTTAAAAATAGGTATTTGTTATTGTGTAGTGTATATAGTTATGTAATAATGCTTTTTTTTGCAGTACAAGGTTTTGGACTCAGAGCTATGTACTTGTAGGCAGATGTTCTACTCTGAACCCTCCAAACCCTTTTTTGTTCAGTTATTTCTGATAGGGTTCTCACTTCTTTTATATTAGAAGGTCTTCATTGGAGAATCTCACTTTTTTCCCAAGCCAGCCTGGATCGCAATACCCCCATTTATGCTTCAAACTGTAGCTAGGATGACAGATGCATGCCACAACACCCAACTTTTTCTGTTAAGATGGGGATCTTGAAATTTTTTTGCCTAGGCTGGCCTCAAATCATGACCCTCCCCATCTTAGTCTCCTAAGTTTACAGTTATCAGCTACAATTATAGGCATGAATTACTGCATTCAATTCCTATTCTATTGCAGGCTGAAGAACCCTCTCAGAGGCAGCCTACTGTTACAGACAGGACATATCCAAAAGATGCACACTAGTCATCTTTTCTTCACTGTAAGGAATTTGAACAATTTGAGGAAAGGTTCATTTAGGATCTTTTTGCAGAAGTTTCAGTCTGCAGGCCCATGGCTACATTGCTTCTTGGCCTGTGGCAGGGCAGATCATGGCAGGGAATGATCACATGGTGGAGCAAAGCTGCTCATCTCACGGGCTGGGAAACAAAGCACACAAGTGGAATGAACTAGAAACCCACTATCCCCTTCAAGAGCACACTTCTAATGATCTAATCCTTTTACTCAGGTTCACTTCCTTCCAACACCTAGCAACAGCATCACAGGCTAAGACCGAGCCTTCAATACTTGAGCTTTTAAGGAGCATACCAAAAGCAAATTATAGAAATGCCTTTGGTTACACACACACACACACACACACACACACACACACACACACACACACACACACACACTAACCAATACCTCCTATACTGGCAATATTCCTCTACTGTAATCACGGCCAGGTAACAAACAACTAGAGATTACCCCTATAGCCCAAAGCCACCCAAAATTGGTCAGACTAGTCAAATATAAACTTCTGACTATTCTTGCCTTTTCTGAGGAAACCCAAATAAGGGTTAAACCTTCTCTCCTTGCTCCCGCCTTCAATTACCTGCTATCTTTTCCACATGACCTGTGAGGTATACCATGCCTCCTATAGCTTGGACCTATGAGTAAAATAGGTATGTCATTGCACTTGAGTTACTATTTCAGAAATGAATACACAGCATTGCACAGGAGCCTTTACAGCTATCTTATTGTAAGGAGGTTTCTCTAGAACTATTTAGGATTAAGAATAAAAAACACCAGCTGATCTGATAAAATTTTCAAAATCAGGCAATGCTTGTTAAGTTGTATGTCTTTAGACCTTTGAAAGATTCCAAATGTAAGCCATATCCCTGTGGTTCATCACTGCAGTTCCAGCTACTCGGGAGGCTAAAACTTGTACAATATCAAGATTCAAAACTAGACTGGGCAGAAAAGTCTTCAAACTCCATCTTAAATTAACCAGCAAAAAGCTCAAATTAGATGTATGGCTCAAGTCATAAAGTGCTAGCCAAACAATCAAGCACAGAGTGAGCATGAGGCCCTGAGTACTAACCTCCCCCAAAAAGATTCAATACATAATCCAAATTGTTGAGCAGGTATCTAAGAACATCTCCAAAGCTCAAGAAATGAGCTAGCTTTCAATATCCATGTTATTATAGTACTGTTAGATCACTGTAAGATTTGGGAGTATTCCATCTTCATGCTAAACAGTACAATTACAGGTACAGTATTCCATCTCTTTTTTGAAAATCCCCCTTTCCCTTGGGGTCTGTCCAATAACCAGTCCCCTTCTATACATGACAGCTAATTGGTAATATTGCTTCGGGGAAAAGTCACGTTTTTCAAAGGGCATTTTCAAAGCTTGGAAGCCTAGGAAACCCAAAGGAATTATTTCTATCCATGATCACTCAATTACTTGCAATCGCTTAATACCTTGCTCTGCTCTTTCCAAGAGTCATCTTGGTTCTAGTTCTAATCCTTGGCTACCTCATGAACCTCAATTAATAAAACCTCTAAGCAAGTGCACAGATCCTAGCCAATGTAAAATTATTCACAGCTGCTTAAAAACCCAAGTGGCCATATGCCAGTGGCTCACACTTACAATCCTAGCTGCAGGAAAGTTTGTGAGACTCTTATCTCTAATCACCAAAGAGCCAAAAGTGGAACTGTGGCACAAGTGTAGAGTGCTCTAGCCTTGAGCACAAAAGTGTAAGGACAGTGCCCAGCCCTGAGTTCAAGCCTCAAGTGGCGCATGTATGTACATGTATACACACACAAACACACACACACACACACACACACACACACACACACACACACATACCCAAACGTCATCATAGTACAAGCAGAATGAGATGGGAAAGTGAGACTATACATTAAGACCATGACTGGCAGATAAAAAGGAAGGAGCAGTTCCAATCCAGAGCTGACAAGTTGGGAATGATCCAAACAAGGCACACAGGTACCATCACAGGGGAGTTTGAAGTTAAGGTTAATGTGGATCAGACAAGAAATCTATTTACTATGTTATTCTTATTCATGATCTTTAGACTATTTTTCCCTAGTAAATCTCCCAGGGTCTGAAATGCAACAGTATTGCTAACCTGGAAGCTTCTGAAACTTTAACAGTCTGCAGTTTCCAATGTGGCTTAGCATGTGAAGAGGAACACCAGCTCCCAGTGTGAGGTGTGGGGAAACAAATCCACAGGTACAGCTTCTCTCAGGACAAAATGCTCGCCTAGAAGCTTCTTAGCAGAGTTTGGAGGACAGCACAACCTGTAGAAAGAAATAAAATTTTAGCTTCCTAGAAAAAAGATGTATAGAACACAACTGTTGAAATGGAAACTATCCATCCCCCTGCACATCAACTTGGGCTTATCATTATATTTAATGGAATGCTTTTCTCCTCCATCTTCCACAATTCAGCACTAGATGCACAACTTAGGATAGGGCTCCATCCTAATAAACTCACACTAGCTGAAAAGAGAAACAAGTAAACAATGTATTTGTGAGCCTGGGGTATAGCTTCATGGTGAAAGCATAAGCCTAGCCTCTAAAGTGTCCAGTTTTTCAACCCCAGGACCACAGGAAGTGTTTAATACATCTAGCTTCCCAAACATCCCAGCTTAGCCACAGGACAATGCATAGTGCTGGCTTTAATTAATTTATTCATTCACTCACTCATGCATTTATGCCAGTTCTGGGGCTTGAACTCAGGACCTAGCCACTGCCCCTTGGCTTTTTTGCTCAAGGCTGGAACTCTACCTCTTGAGCCATAGCTCCACTTCTGGCTTTTGGTAGTTAATTAGAGTAAGAGTCTCATACTTTCTGACCTGGACTTCCTTTGAACTTTGATCCTCAGATCTTAGCAGAGTCACCAGCATCCAGTGGTAACTTTTATTCTTGGCAACTGGTAGCTGACTGGGAGCTCTCTCACTGTTGCTGACTAGCACCTTGCTGTCAGGCTTCCAAAATTCAAAGTGTACTTTCTACTAAATATGGAATGCTTTCCATGGTTGTGAAGTCAAGAACATACCAACTCCATCAGAAATTATGCTCAGAAATATTCATTCAGATTAATTCATTCTGCTGAAACTTTTCAGAATAGATGGCTTTTTTTCTCTCATACCAAAGATTCATTATAGAGAAGTACAGAAAAGTAAAAGGAACAAAATTCACCTATAAAGTCACCTACAATATCACCACTTAAATTTTGTGTGTGTGTGTGTGTGTGTGTGTGTGTGTGTGTGTGTGTGTGTGTGTGCTGCTTGCATTATTTCTTTTTTTTCTTTCCTTTGGTTTATCCCCTGTTGACACTGTTTTTTTTTATTTCTGTACCCATTGCCTTATATATAAGTTTAACTGATTTGGGGAAGGGAAGTGAAATCACAGAAATGGTGGGGCAATGGGTGAACCAATGCAACAATGATACTCACTAGATATTATGCTGGAAATGAAATGTACAACTTGCGGGGAGGGGAAGAGGGTCGGGGGAATGGGAAAGTGGGAGAAAATGAGGGAGACTGTAACACTTCAAAAAGAAACGTACTCATGCACGTACTCTGTACATCACCTCTACAATAAAATGTAAACATTTTAAAATTTTTTTTCAAAAAAGAAAACTAGGTCAAAAAAAAGTAAAAGTCCCATGGCCCTTCCTGTCCTGGCTGGCTTCAAACTGTAATCCTTAGATCTCAGCCTCCTGAATAGCTAGGATTATAGGCATGAGCCACAGGCATCTGGATTAATTTTTTGTTTTTAGGTCTGAGACCAGAACTCAAACTTGGTACCTGACACTTTTGTTCATTGGAGAGCATTCTAATAACTGAACCATGCCTCCAACCCCTTAAATTGTTTGTCTTAAATTTTTATTGTAAAGGTGATTTGCAGAGGGGTTACAGTTACATAAGTCAGATATTGAGTACATTTCTTTTCTTTTCTTTTTTTTTTTGCCAGTCCTAGGGCTTGAACTCGGGGCTTGAGTTTCTTTTGTTCAAGGCTAGCACTCTACCACTTGAGCCACAGCATCACTTCTGGCTTTTTCTGTTTATGTGGTACTGAGGAATTGAACCCAGGGCTTCATGCATGCTAGCAATCTACCACTAAGCCACATTCACAGTCCCAAGAACATTTCTTTTTGAACAGTGTGACCCCTTCCCTCATTCTCTCCCAGTTTTTCCCTCCTGACCCCCACACTCCCCTAAGTTGTATAGTTCATTTCCAGCATAGTGTCACTGTTAAATTAGTTCACCTTTTGTCCCCATTTCTGTCCTTCCCCTTCTCCCCAAATCAGATAAATTTATATACAAGAAAGAGGTACAGAAATAAAAAATAGCAACAAATGGGAAAAAAAACCAGAAAAAAAGAACTACAATTTTTTTTAAAAACCCCTCATTTCATTTCTTTGAATTCATTGTTCATTTCAATAAGCATCATTATTTTTTTTTATTTTTTGTCGGTTGTAGGGCTGGAACTTTGGGCCTGGGCACTGTCCCTCAGCTCTTCAGCTCAAGTTGAACATTCTCCCCCTTGAGCCACAGTGCCCCTCCCGGTTTTCTAGTGGTTAAAGTGGAGATAATAGTCTCACCAACTTTCCTGCCCAGACTGGCTTTGAACCACAATCCTCAGATCTCAGCATCCTGTGTAGCTAGGATTACAGACATGAGCCACTGGCACCTGGCAATAAGCATCTCTTTATATGACCATATGCACAACGCTATTTAGCCCTGTGATCCTCTCCTAAAAATGTTCTCCTTTGGTCTCACTGTGTGAATGTTTAGCGTCCTGTTTAATTTATCATGTCCAAATGTAGTTTGTTGTCTTTTACTATCTTTTGGGTTTACTTGTAGATTTATAGGCACATTCTAATTAGTACAAATGAGGAAAATCATGTAGTCTATGTTACTTTAGGTCTGGCTTACTTTGCTTAATACAAGTCTTTCCATTTCCTTATGAATGGGGCAATGTCATTCTTTCTGATGAAAGCACAGAATTCCATTGTGGTGTTTGTTTTGTTTTGTTTTATTTGTTAGTCGTGGGGCCTGAACTCTAGACCTGGGCACTGTCCCTCGGCTCTTCAGTTCCAGGCTAGCACTCTACCACTTGAGCCACAGCACCACTTCTGGCTTTTTCTGCTTATGTGGTGCTGAGGAACCCAGGGCCTCATGCATGCAAGGTAAACACTCTACCACTGAGCCACCTTCCTACCCCCTCTATTGTGTTTTAAAAGACAAACTCACACTATATGTTTGTACATATGGATTTACAATCAGTTTAAGGCCCAAACCATAAAACTGGAAGAGAATTTGTTTCCCTAGATGACACTCAATAATTTAAATAGCACTGTTCAATTAAAATCAAGTACAAGATAAACATGTTCAGTATCATATCTCCAAAGAATAGTGTTCATTCGATGTAAGAAAAGAAATATTAGAAGCAGACAGACAAGTGTGAATTTTTGTTTTTTGTTGTTTTTTTTTGTGCTGGTACTGGGGCTTGAACTTTTTTTTCCAAGGCCAATGTTCTGTCCTTTGAGCCATAGCTCAAAGGTCCATAGCTCTACTTGGTAGTTAACTGGAAGTAAGAGTCTCATGGATTTTTCTGCCTGGGTTGGCTTTGAACTGAGATCTTCAGATCTCAGCCTCCTGAGTAGCTAAGATCACAGGTGTAAGCAACTAGTGTCTGGCACCAAACACGTTTTTATATAGTGTTCAGATAGACAGCTATAAAGAAAATCAACTGAAAAAGACAAGTAATAAAAGAGTAAGGTAGTTGGGCATAAGAACAGCAATAATTCAAAAATAGCACAAAAATATCTTATTCATAATACAACAAATGCTTTACAAGCCATATCCCTCACCTATAATCCATCTACTTAGGAGGCTGAGACAGGAAGCCAGCCTGGAATGACAGTAAGATCTTGCCACCAAAAAGGCTTCCCAGTATTATGTATTATACAAACATGTCCCTCTAGAGAATCACACAGAAAAAACTAGATAACTGAGCAGATGTGATACATATATGAATGGAAAAAATATTGTAAAATTTGTAATGCCTGGCATGCAGTGTAGCCCACAACTCTAATCCCAGCTACATGGGAGGTAGAGGAAGGAAAAACACAAGTTCAAGGCCATATGACTCTACCTGTATCCTAGGTACTCAGGAGGTGAGATCTAAAGATCATAGTTCAAATCCAGCCCAGACAAGAAAGTCCATTAGACTTTTATCTCCAAGCAGACTTGAACAAAAAAGCCAAACAAGAGAATAAGAGGCCCTGAGAGTTCAAGCCCAAGTACAAGTTCACATTTATACATACATACACACAAACACACACACAAACTAGATTAACATAATCATTATATTTGTGAGTACAGTGTGATATTTCAATGCATATATATTATGTATACTAATCAAATAAGTGTAATTAATGTTTCCGTCCCCAAATCATTAGTTTATGTCTGAAGCATTTGAGTTTCTCTCTTCAAGTCATTCATAAGATATATAATAGGGGATTGTGAACTATACTTCCCCCACTGAGCTGTAAAACACAGGAATATATTACTTCTAAGCAAACTATGTTTGGTACGTGTTATCCATCCTTCCACCACACCCACTCTCCCCAGCCTCCCAGCATGTCTGCACAGCAAAGGAAGAGACAAACTGAAAGAAGAGACCCACCTACTGGATGGGAGAAAATATGCATAAAATACTCATCTGACAAAGAATTTATATATGGAATATATACAAGGAATATGAGAAACAAATACAAAATAATCCAGTTAAATGGACACACACTGATAGCGATACACTTCTCAAAAGAAGAAATTCAAATGGCAAAAAATATGGAAAAAAAAGTCTCAGTATCAAGAAAATGCAAGTCAAAAACACAATGAAAAAAAAATTATTTAAAAGCAACTGAAAAATACAGTAAGTGGCTGGGAATGCGGCTTAGTGGTAGAGTGCTTGCCTAGCATGCATGATTCCTCAGCACCACATAAACCGAAATAGCTAGCCTTGAGCAAAAAAGAGCTCAGAGACAGTGCCCAGGCGCTGAGTTCACTCATCTCAACCAACAGCAACAACAAAAAAGAATGACATTATTTGTAACAAAAAGATGGAACTAGAAGATATTAGGTGAAATAAGGAAGACAGAAATACAAATACAAATACCATATGTTCTCTCACATGTATATCCCACCCCTTTAAAAAAATTAGTATTTGGGGGAATATGCCAGTACTGGGGTTTGAACTCAGGGCCTCAAGCTCTTGCTTAGCTTTTCTATTTAAGGCTGGAGCTCTACCTCTTAGTCACACCTCCACTTCTGGTTTTCTGTGCCAATCCTGAGGTTTGAACTAAGAGCCTGGGAGCAGCCTCTGAGCTCTTTTGCTCAAAGCTAGCTCTCTACCACTTGAGCCACAGCTCCACTTCTGGGAGATTTTGGTGTTTAATTGAAGATCAGAGTCTCACAGACTTTCTCAGCCTCCTGAGTAGCTAAGATTATAGGCATGAGCTACCAGTGGCTGGCCTACTTCTGGTTTTGTCCTGGTTAACTAGAGGTAAGAGTCTCATGGATTTCTCTGCCAGGACTAACTTCAAAACTCAATTCTCAGATCTCACCTGAGTAGCTAGGATCACAGACATAAGCAACCAGCACCCCACTAAAAAATTAATATTTTGTTCATCATTATTTTGGATGTTAATTTTGATATTTTTAAATATTGCACTAAAAATGTATCTTGAGGGCTGAGAATGTGGCTTAATGGTAGAGTGCTTGCCTAGCATGCATGAAGCCCTGGGTTCAATTCCTCAGTACCACATAAACAGAAAAAGCCAAAAGTAGTGCTGTGGCTCAAGTGGTAGAGTGCTAGCCTTGAGCAAAAGAAGCTCAGGCACAGTGCCCAGGCCCTGAGTTCAAGCCCCAGGCAAAAAAAATGTATCTTGAGTACTGGAGAAAGATGACTCAAATGGTAGAATGTTTGCCTAGCAAGCATGAAGCCCTGAGTTCAATCCCATTTCATTTTTTAAAACAAGTATCTTGATTACTGAAAATTCTGGTATCTCCTTAAAATGTTGTAGCTATTAGGTCTCCCCATGAGTACAGCCTTCTTTCTCTCCCTCCTCTTCATGAAGGACAGCACTAGCCTTACCAAAAACTACCTGTCCTAAACCATAATCACCAGTAACTGTTAATCACCTGACCGTGAGTCCATAAAGTACCTCATCCTCTGAGGTCACTTCTGCATTTGCTGCAGCCATACCTCCTCACCTTTCCCTATATAATCTCTTTCCACCATCAGTTGAGCTACACACTGCTCTACACACTCTCCAGTGCCACCCAGCACAACTCTCTGCACATCTACATCTGGTACAGGCCAGAAGCTTGGTCTACCTAATAAACTCTTTTCTAACTGAACTGCATGGTGTTCTCATTTCAGCAACCCTTACAGTAGCCACAGTGAATGCCTGAACTGCCTCACTCTAGATCTGGCCCTGCAATTAACACTTGAAGGGGATAGAATTGTTTTTTTTTCCTTTTTCTTTCTGCTTCTCTATGCTTTCTAAATTGTGCACACTAAACATGGATTACGCCAGGAGCTAGTAACTTATGTCTGTAATCCTAGCTACTCAGGAGGCTAAGATCTGAGGATCACAGTTCAAAGCCAGCCTGGGCAGAAAAGTCCCCATAAGACTCTTATCTCTAGTCAACCACTCAAAAACCAGAAGTGGAGCTCTACTAAAGTGATAGAGCGCTAGTCTTGAGCAAAAAAGAGCTCAGGGATAGCACCCAGTCCCTAAGTTTAAGCCCCACAACCAACAAAAAAACAAACATGGGGTAGGTTAGGAGCCATGGATGACAATGTCAGACACTTTGTACTCATATAGTTTTGTAGAATGGGAACTTCCTTGTACAACCACTTAAAGATAATAAATTGTTTTTAAAAAGCCACACATGGGTTACTTTGAAAACTGGAAATCATAATAACAACAAAAAACTAAAGACTCACTCGATGATATTCCTTGTGGTGTCAGCATAAGGCTTGCAGGAAACAAAAACTAGTGTGTGGATAGCCTGGCAGTTCTGGATGGCTCAAACCACTTTGTAATCTAAAGGAACAAATACTATTATTAATACAGTTAAGCTACCATGGTCCCCATTATAAGATACTCCTAACTGACCCTCACTCAGGACTAGTTAAGAACATAGGAGAAGCTGATTCATAGCTGTAACACTGGGAATGAGGAAGCAAAGTTCACCAGGGAACACTCAATTACTCCTTACACAACCCAGCACAGGTTGAGTTCACCACAGCAATAATTGACTGCCCATCTTCCTTTGACTTTAATAGCCGTGGTAAAATCTTCTCTGCTCTCCTGGTGTGAAATTCACAGTTGGTGATACTGTGGAAGGGAGGCCCACACGACACAGCCCAGTCTAGCAGAGGAATGATTCAGCTACACAGAAATCTACAGACACCAGGGCTCTGCCATCTTCCCTTTGGTTTTAGAAAATCTCTGAATAAGCAGGAAAGAAATGCTTTTAGACCTACTTCACTTATCCCTTGGCATGTCTCAATATGCCTTTCAGCTTGAGAGACATACTGGCATATGAGTTACATACACTAAGACAAGAATCTTGAGTTTTCCTGAAGTGGTCTTACTGCTGCATCAGAAGGTTTCATTCAGTGCCTAAAGAACTGTGCTGAGGTAGGGTAGAGATGACAAGTCATTTTCTATAGTACAATCTAGCATGGTTTTATCTGAAGAAAAGGCTGAAATTATATGTTTGAAACCTATTGTATTAGGCAGTGATACTTCATGAGCCTAATGTCAAGAAGGCTCTTCTGTCAGAAGTTTTACTTTTCCCTCCGTATCAACTAGGCTTGTTCCTTCCCTTGGGCTCTTCTTCTGAATAGAACAACAATAAAAGTTATTGGAAGTGGTACCCAGGAGGTTTGAAGCCAGAAACTCTATAATTAACCAGCAAAAATCCAGAAGTGGAGGTGTGGCTCAAGTAGTAGAGCACAAGCCTAAAGCAAAAAAGCTGAGCCAGAGGAAGAAGCCTTGAGTTAAAGTTCCAATACTCTTCCCTCCCAAAAAGCAGTTACTAGAATTTTTCCAGAAGGTCATCAATTCCAAATTTACCACTTTAGAACCCTACTGGTCATAGATATTATAGTCCCTCCTTCCCACACCATCTTTTTCATGGTGTAAAACCACTGTCATCTTCTTTGTTTGCTTGTTAGTTCATTGGTCATGGTGCTGAAGATGGAACCCAAAGTATTGTACATGGTAGGCAAGAACTCTACGATGAACCACATCTCTAGCCCCTCAACTGAATCTCTTAATTTCTGTCCAGACTGAGCTATGTACCATTGAAGGCTGCTGTCTACCTGGCATCTCAACCAACTCAATCCCAACAACCTGAGAGGCATGCTAAGCCAGAGAAAGGCCCATCACACCTGGAGAAAAGAGAGAGCAGGGTATTTTAGGGCTTTAACTAACATTATACCCATAATAATACCACTATCTCCTCCCTCCTACCCCTGTGAGCATCTTAGGTTCTAGCCAGATGACAGGTGAGAGCTAGGCAGCATGCAGAATCTTCCATAGGCAGCAAATATCAAGGAGGACCATATTAGAATCACTCCACTCAGCTCCCTAACAGTCTGATAAAGCACCTTGGCACCAGCAGTATTAATCTGGAAAAAGGAATCTGGAGAAATGCGGACCTTCAAGCCTAGAAGATCTTCAAAGATGGGGGTTCCCCAAATAAGAGCTGGTAGGGGGACTGCTGATGACTGCAATGGGTCATGGTGCTAGAAAAGAAGAAAGCATCTTGGATTGGCAGACCATTTCATTACTAGTGTTGACTGGAAGGGGAGATCCCAGCATCTCAGTTAGGAGATACAACTTCCTTGCCATGGCTCTCAGAGCTCTGTACAAGTTGCCTTTTCAAGAGATGGAGGTACATGCACACTATTTCTTATACATTCTGGCCTGGCTTCAAAGATACAGCTGGTATAACAAGAGCCATGACTAGTTATCCCAGAGTCTCCATTGTCAGCAACCCTTCACCAGCAACCTACAAACCCAGGCTACAAGCCATAGGATCCTGCTTGCTCTCTGACTGCCTCAGGTTTACCTTTCTTGGAAATAAATGGAAGTTAAGTTGCAAACTGCTCCGGAGCCTTTGATGAAGAATTCCTTATAGTCTCCTCCTGAACAAAGAGCTCCTCCTGTCCAAACCACAAAATCAGGAGTCAAGCAGAGATTCATATCTGACCATTTTTTTCTCCAAGCTGTACATTAACCAGCCCTGAAGTAGCCAGGCAAGAAGACATATTTCTTAAATTCTATTATAAGTAACACTTAACATAAAGTAACATTCTGTATAACAATAAAATAGGCCATTTTTCTCATCTCAGTAGAAGCACAGCTTGGCTTTTCAGCTTTTGACAAATCCTAGACAATAGATTTGGCACTTTTTCTACTTTGAAGCTCTAATAGTTCTCTAAAGAAAGTGTGAGTTTTTCTTGTATACAAGGAGCTAAACTAAGCTCACGCCCCATCATGCTGAGGCAGTAACCTTTCAATTCCCTTCACTACAGAGAGCCCAACCACCTACCCAAATATTACCAAACAAATCGTGATCCTCAAAGAAATCAAACAGGATACACAGGAGAGAATTAGCATGTTAACTTCCTTTTTTCCAGCCAGTCCTAGAGCTTGAGATCAAAGCCTGGGCACTGTCCCTGAGTTTCTTCTGGCTCAAGGTTAGCACTCTACCACTTCAGCCACTGCTCCATCTCCAGCTTTTTTTGGTAGTTTAATGGAGATAAGAGTCTCACAGACTTTCCTTCTCAAGATGGCTGAACTTTAATCCTCAGATCTCAGTCCCCTGAGTAGCTAGGATTAAAGGTGTGAGCTATTGGCACCCAGCTAGTAATTCCCTTTTTTGAATTCAGAACTTTAAAAAAAATCTTTACATCATCACAGAAAGCCTAAGCATTAGCTTGGCACACAAATACAAACAGTAAACCTGAACCTACAGAATTAGGTCCAAGCTTGATTCAAGTTTCAACTTCACTTTTTTGTAGTGATGGAATTTGAACTCAAGGACTTATGCATGCTTGCCAGGAAAGTACTCTACCACTTGAACCATGCCCCTTGTCCCCAGCTTTGCTTTGCTATTAAATGGATTTTTTTGGCCAATACAACTTAAACTCAGGGCCTCATGCTCATTCAGCTTGCTTGATAATGGCTGGAGCATTATGGCTTGAGCCTCATCTCCAGCCAGCTTTTGCTGGTTAAATGGAGATGGAGTCTGCCCACACTGGCTTCAAACCACAGTCCTCCAGGGAGTTATTAGCTTCCTGAGTAGTTAGTATTACATGTGTGAGCCACTGGCACCTAGCTTAAGTGGCTTTTAAATCTTGAATATGCCTATGTCTCCATTTATTTCTGAAAATTTAGAGTGACAGCCAAGTGCCAGTGGCTCACACTTGTAATCCTAGCTATTCAGGAGGCTGAGATCTGAGAATAGGAGTTCAAAGCCAGCTGGTGAACGAAAGTCTATGAGACTCTTATCTCCAACTAACTACCAAAATGGAGCTGTGTCTGAAGTGTTAGAGCACTGGCCTTGAGCACAAAGCTCAGGGACAGCACCCAGGTCCTGAGTTCAAACACCAAGACTGGCACACACACAAAAAAAAAACTGAGAGTGACAATATTGTTTTATCCTGCCTGCTCAAGTTGGTCTGAAATGATCATCTAAGTATAGGGATGTTTTACTATTATAAATATTACAAATGTACAGCATAATTTGAAAACCTACTATGTTCACCACTATACAATCAATCAACACAGTGAAATATCTGGATTACAACATTCCAATATGCTAATCTCTATGGAATTGACATGTGGATTTAGTACCTATTACTATAGGCAAAGTTCTTATGAAAATACTTGGGAGCCAGGCACCAGTGTCTCACACCTGTAAGCCTCGCTATCCATAGGCTGAAATCTGAGTATCACGGTTTGAAGCCACCTCAGGTAGAAAAGCCTGCAAGACTCTAATTAACCAGTGAAATGTAGAACTAGAGGCAAGGGTAAAGGTGGTAGAGTTCCAGCATGCAGCCAGAAAGCTGAGCAGGGATACAAAGTCCTGACTTCAAACCCCAGGACTGGGACAAAAATAAGAATAATTGGGAATCCTTATATGATAATTAGTTTGACAACCTAATCTGATTGTGCCAGAAATATAGCTAAATAGTATTCTTACTATCTTCTCCTTCTCCCACTTAAATGTTCTCCCCAACCTACACAAATATTATGTGGATGTATAGTTCCTGCCTTCCATCTGGAAGCTTCCAAAAACCAACTGCAGCACAGCACCGGTTGCTACAAAAGCTATACCATACTATGAAGCTCACCTGACTTAATTCTTGGGGATGTAAAGTTATGATAGCCATAGTGTATCCCTGGCTATTGGTTCAAACTGTCAGCTCACGTCAGTATCCATCTTCATGAAATACAAGGCACGGATCCATTGGAGACTGTCGAAGGAATATTTCATAGTACTAAGAAGGAAAAAAAACAATATTACACAGCAAAACTAACAAGTTCCCAACTGATTTTTTCATACTAGATATTTGGGCTGTATTGTTATCTTTCAAAATTTATAGACTGAAGCCTTCATCCCCAGTACCTGAGGATGTGACTGTATTTGGAGAAAAGGTCTTTAAAGAGGTGATTACACAGCGAAGCATGGCAGCATATACCTGTAATTCCAGCCCTAAAGAGATGGAGGATCACATGTTCTAGGCCAGTCAGGGCTACATACCAAGACCTTGTCTAATATAACCTAAATAAATATAACCTAAAATAAAGAGGAGATTCAATTAAAATCAGGCCATTAATCAGGCCTTAGTCCAATCTGACTAGTGTCCTTATAAGAAAAGGAAATCTGGGCTGGGAAGGTGGCTCAGTGGTAGAGCGCTTGCCTTGCATGCCTGAGGCCCTGGGTTCGATTCCTCAGCACCACATAAGCAAAAAGAAAAAAGCCAGAAGTGGCGCTGAGTGGTAGAGCGCTAGCCTTGAGCTGAAGAGCTGAGGGACAGCGCCCAGGCCCAGAGTTCAGCCCCACGATTGGACCCCCTCCCAAAAAAAAGAAGAAGAAAAAAAGAAAAGGAAATCTGAAACCCCAGATACTAAGAGGGTAGAGGCAAGAGGATTACCAGTTCAAGGCCACCCTGGGCAAAGATAGCAAGACTCTGTCTTTAAAAAAAAAAAAAAAGGGGGGGCTGGGAAGGTGGCTCAGTGGTAGAGCACTTGCCTTGCATGCTCGAGGCCCTGGGTTCGATTCCTCAGCACCACATAAGAAAAAAGCCGGAAGTGGCGCTGTGGCTCAAGTGGTAGAGCGCTAGCCTTGAGCTGAAGAGCTGAGGGACAGCGCCCAGGCCCAGAGTTCAGGCCCCACGACCAGACCCCCCCCCCCCCCAAAAAAAAAAAAAAGGCTGGAGCATACCTCAAAACTGGACACACAAGAGTTTTTCAGGGATAAATATGCACAAAGAAAAGACCCTGTAGGGAACACAGCAAAAACATGGCCATCTGCCCCAGAAAGCCACGCCAACATTCTGGTCTTTGACATCTAGCCTTTAAACAGTGAGAAAATAAAGTCCTGTTATTCAATGAGCCACCCAGTCTGTAGTATTTGCTATAGCATCCCAGGAAGAATAGACAAAATATGTTTCCCTGCCCTGTGCCCTTACAAAAGATATTATCCACTGTATTCTGACCTAGAAGCTCCATGAAGGCCTAACAGTGTATCTCCAATCTGCAATATAATGATGTTCAGTATTTGTGAAACATGGTATGAACAAATATATGAAAAAGAAGTAGAACCTCAGTTTATTCTATACACAATGAGGAATACAATAAGCTTTCATTTCTGTGAAATCTTCCTGGCAGCAATTCCTGATGTCTTACTAAGCTGCTATGAGTCATTCTTAGTTATAACTTCCTGACATAAGCCTGTCATTTCTCTATCATATAACCAGGTGCCAACCACCCTATACCTTAGTCAGATCCTCCATTTCCTCCAGGGAAATAAACCATCCTGCAAATGCAATCCCAATTTAGTTGTTATGATCTCAACAATCTTTAAACCCAGCAGAATTAGTGTAAGGGAGAGTCATAGAGGGGGTGGAGATTGATTGGAATAAATTACATACATGCAAAGAATGTCAACATGAAATCCCCCCTTGTATAGCTAATGTATGCTAATAAAAAAATCAGTCTGGGAAGGTGGCTCAGTGGTAGAGCGCTTGCCTTGCATGAGGCCCTGGGTTCAATTCCTCAGCACCACATAAGCAGAAAAAGCCAGAAGTGGTACTGTGGCTCAAGTGGTAGAGCGCTAGCCTTGAGTTGAAGAGCTGAGGGACAGTGCCCAGGCCCAGTGTTCAGGCCCCATGACCAACAAAAACTAAAAAATCCCTAAAGCCAAATCTTTCAAACAAAAGCCAGGGCTTAGTATCTGGGGTTTCAGGTATATACTATCATGCCAAGTTCAGATTTCCTTTTCTTTTGTTTTTGCCAGTCCTGGGGCTTGAACTCAGGGCCTGGGCACCGTCCCTGAATTTCTTTTGCTCAAGATTAGCACTTCACCACTTGAGCCACACTGCCATTTCTGGCTTTTTCTGTTATGTGGTACTGAGGAATTGAACCCAGTATTTCATGCATGCTTGGCAAGCACTCTAATACTAAGCCATATTCCCAGCCTCTCTTTTTGTTTTCATAATGTGTATAATTTAAGTATTTAGGTTTTTTATTACTATTTGGGGGGAAAGTAAAGTAAGGGATGACATCATCTAAAAAAAGAAGTGCATTTTTACCTGACTTATGAAATGGTAACCCCTCTGTACAATACCTTAATAGTAACAATAAAATTGTATTAAACAAAAATAATCAGTTAAGGCTGAACATGATCATTTTTGCTATGATTTTATATAAATGCAATCAAACATAGGCTTAAATGTACTGAACATTTTCTTTCAAATTTTGAGGTTAGCAATTTAAAAGAAGCTTGGTTCAACTGTTATTTACTGGCTGGTTTTAGAAAGGAATATTTTTTACAAGCAAAATTCAAATGTCACAGAAGTCCTGAAAGGATGGTAACTGAAAAACTGAGCCTTACTTGGAAGAAAATTTGTAAGTAAACATGAAATACAGCTTCTTGCTGGACATCATTGGTTCACATCTATAATTCTAGCACCTAGGAGGCTGAAACTAGCCTGGGCAGAAATTCTATGAGACTCCAACTCTATTAACCATAAAATGCCAGATTAGAGGCATGGTTCAAATGGTAGAGCACCAGCCATGGGCAAGCAATCCCAGCAAGAACAAAAGGTCCTGAGTTCAAACTCTGGTACTGGCATAAATTTTTTTTTAAAGAAATACACTATCTGCACAATATGACCTTGGTTTCTTCACTGTAAAATGGGAGGCAGACTCCCAACCTTATATGGGAATGCCTAAGGGAGCATTCTGATTCAAATAAGACAGTATTGCAACTAAAAATTCTACAAAAATGAAAGAATAAGAAAAGGCACAATTTAAGCCCACTGTGCCATTAATCTTCCCTTCTCATTCTCCTCTACAATCATTTTCATATATACATGTATATGTATTCACAGGAATACATATACATGCATTAACTCTTTCACTTTAAGACAAAAAGAAGACTTTCTCAAACACAGGGGCCCTTCCTAGTTTTTGCTATTTCTCTATTCCTCTTTGTGGCAAATATCACAAGAAATGTAAATGTTCCCTTTCTGACATTATTTTCCTTTTATACATTTATTTAATCATTTTCCCACTACTCTACCAAAAGAGCTGATATTAAGGTCCCCAAATTACTCCTTGTCATGATCCAATGGCCAATTCTTAGTGTTCACCTTGCTATGCTGGGCACAACTGATGATTCATTCCTCTTCCACTTATATTCCTCACTAGGCTCCCAGAACTCCCCACTCTCCTGTTTCTTGTTGCCTCATGAGCTGTTTCTTCTTGGTAAAAGGGGTCTCTTTTCCCAGACTTCTTAACATTGGCATGTCCAGGAGTTGGTCCCTGTACCTCTTCTTTTGTCTGTCTACTCTCAGCCCCTTGGTGATCTCTTCCCAGTATTTTTTGGGGGGGAGGGGTCATCATGGGGCTTGAGCTTGGGGCCTGGCGCTATCCCTGAGCTCTTCAGCACAAGGTGAGCACTCCACCACAGTGCCACTTCTGGTTTACTGGTGGCTAATTGGAGATAGGAGTCTCACAGACTTTCCTGCCCAGGGCATGGCTTTGAACCATGATTCTCTGATCTCAGCCTCCTGAGTAGCTAGGATTATAGGCATGAGCCACTGGTGCCTGACCTAGTATTTTGATTTTAAATAAATAACATCTACATACTAACAATGCCTACTGTCTGGATTTCTCTCTTGAACATTCCTCTTCCCCGTATTACAACAATCATATACCACATAATGATGTCTGGGCCAACCACTGTGATTGCATAAGTTATGATAAAGCTGAAAAATTCCTATAGTTTAGTGATATCATAGCCATCAACATTATACTATAATACCATAGTATCTTACTCTCATGTTTGTGGTGATGCTGGCATAAACAAATCAATCATGTTGCCAGTCATATAGAAGTACAGCACATATGCTAGGTGCCAATGGCTCATGCCTGTAATCCTAGCTACTCAGGAGGCTGAGGATCAAGTTTTGACACGTCTTAGCAGGAAAGTCCAAGAGACTTGGTCTCCATTTAACCACAAAATGCCAGACTGAAGACATGACTCAAACCAAGCACAAGGCTCTGAGTTCAAACTCCAGTACCAGCAAAGAAAAAAAAAGTACAGCAATACAATTATGAATAATATATCATACTCAATAATGACAATAAACAACCATTACTGACATATATTTACTAGCTATACTTTCTATTTTATTGTGTAGTTCTTTTGTTTATTAAAAAGCAAGTTAGCCTGACCCAGTAGTTCACACCTATAATCCTAGATACTTGGGAGGCAGAGATTGGGAGGACTGTTGGGAGGCCAGCCCCAATAAAAAAAAGTTAGCAAGAACCCATCCCAGGGAAAAAAATCTTGGCATGCTAGAAATGTGCCTGTCATCCAGCTATGTCGGAGTCATAAAGTAGGAAGAAGGAAGTTCAGGCAAGAAAAGTTAAGACCCTGTATGAAAAATAACTAAAGCAAAAGGGGTTGAAGGTATGGTAATACTTGTGGAGCAACTGCTTCGCAAATAGGAGGTCTAGAGTTGAAAATCTTGTACTGCCATTTTTCAAAAAGAGAGTTTGTCAGGTGCCAGTGGCTCTTGTCTAAAATCCTAGTTATGCAGGAGGCCAAGATCTGAAGACTGCAGTTTGAAACCAGCTTGAGTAGACAAATCTGAGAGACTCCTACCTCCAGTAAACTAGCCAAAATTCAGAAGTGGAGGTATGGTTCAAGCAGTAGAGTACCAAGTTTGAGTGAATAAACAAAGAAAGAGTGTGAAGCACTGACCAT